GGCCAGCGGACCTCCTGGCTGGCGATGAGGGACTTTACCCCCGGCGGCATCACGGGGGCCCTGCGCAGAGGTGAGGGGCCCTCAGGGGCCGGGGCCCCTCCCAGGGCTGGCTGGGCTCGGCCCTGCTGAGGGACGGCGGTCCTTGCTCGGGCACTGGGGTGCCTCTCACCGCCCCGCACGCCCTCGGCCTCCCTTGTGCTGTCAGAGGCCTTCGGGGCGTAAATCTCTTCGGCTCCTGAGCTGCCCTTGGGCCCTAAGCATCGCTCGCGGCATTCTACTTCCTTGCAGATAATGAAAAAGGAAATATGACTTTTAGAGATCACTTAGCAAAAGTTTTGACTAGTGTCCTTTGCTGCAGATACAGATATGGCATTCAGGTAGACTTAAATATGAAACATCAGCTGAAAATATTTGTATAATGCATATATTCTAGTATTAAAGAATTAGATAATGCCAAAGCAGCTTGAGCTCATGGAAGTTATAGTAATATTGAGATTTGAGAGAGAAATAGCTCGTGCTTGTTTGTTCTTAAGCTTATGGCTGATATTAACTTTAGAGTTCACCTTGCTTAACTAACTTGTGGATTGCCTTCTGTCAAACTTGTTTCTTAAACTAATATCTGAAGGCCTCAAAGGCAACTTCCTGATGCTTTGTGAAATGAGGATGCGTTAAGTAGCAGTGGGCTTCTTTCTGACGCAGAAAAACGTGCAAAGCACCTGGCTGCTGTGAAATAGTTTTTCTTCTACACAGGTTATGACAGGTATTGCAATAAATACATCAACGTGAGGAAAGGGGGCCTTAGCGGTATCACTATGGTGCTTGCTGGTTATGTTGTCGTCAGCTACATCTGGAGCTATGACCATTTGAGTAAGTAAAAGCAGTATGGCTGAACGTGTATGGCTTGAATGTGTATGACTGCTTGGAAGATTGCTTGGGGCAATAAAAACAGTGAATCTGCTACTGCTTTAGGAACAAGATGAAAGACTATGCTAATCATTGTCACTTGGATCTGAGACTCCGCCTATGGGCAGGCACACTTTTTTTTGACTGTAGAGAACTTAAATGTTTTCAGTAAGTTAACAGTTGGCCAATATTTTCTTGGTGATGGAAAAAAACAATAACCTTGTTGCCTTTTTAAGCTGGCAGGACTTGGGAAGTATGTGCTCAGATTTCTTGCAAAGTGCTTTCTGGAACTTAAGTATTCTTAAGTATTTATTTTTTCTGGGACTTCAGCAAAACTAACTTGCTTTCATTTGAATGATACAGAGCATGACCGTCACAGGAAGTATCACTGAAGCACGAATATCTGAAAGTGAAGGTGCAGTTCTTGAACAGATTTGGCTGCTGGAACAGGTGTCCAGATGAAGATATCAGAACTAGTCATATTAAGACCTGTACTGCTGTTATGACCAATAATAAAGTGTATGCACTTTACACTTTCTGAACTAAGACTCTGGTGACTTTACTTGGTACTGTGTGGGTGAGTTTCTCCACTGAATTTCCCCCCTCAGGGATAAGTTCAGAGATGTCTGGAAAAGCTTTTACTACTTAGCTTGCGTTATAAACTGGGGAAACTACTGAAATTCTTTTATCTTTAACTATTTGATAAGAAGCAGTCCAATGCCATCTTTACTTTTAATGCCCTAAATGTTACAGGTTGGACTACTAACTGAGAGGATACGATATTTTGATGTGAATGAAGAACATGTGAGCTTTAAGAGACTCAGTGCTATGGCCATGTGCTTCTGATTCTCAGGCAGGCTGCCACCTGGGGACTGCATCTGCTTGGGCAATTTTTCATCACAAAGCACTGCTTGAAATGAGATCCCTGTCTGGTTTTGAGAAGGTGTGCTACTCTCCTTCTGCCACTGGAACCAAAATATTTCTTACTCTTAATAGCCCATTTCTATCAAAACTACAGCTACTTCAGTTACTGAGAGAAGTTGGAAAGTTGTGAGTAGGGACGTTAAGTATAAGCTTAAGAGGTCTGTAATACAGCAAGGGTGCATGAAATGAAAGGAAAATTTTGCTTACTGACTTAAATGCAGTGGTGGTAAGTTTAATAGATGTTACTTACATGCACAGATGCCATTTAAAGGGGCATCTGTGCATGTGGCCCCAGTTGATTGCCTTCCTAGTGCACCCCACTAGACAACGGCATCCTAGTGTTACAGCACCACCTGCTGATGCTTGCAACTGTGCCTGGGTGTTGCAGATACAAGCTGCAACAACTGCCTCTCATTCTCTCCAGTATTGAAGAAAAGCATGCTAAGAGATGCAAAGAATCTCTTAAGAGCTTCAACTGTAACAGGAAAGCTTTCAGATTCAGAAAACATCCATGCAGGGAGCAAAGATCTTAAACTTCCCTGAACTACACAGGGAAGGTGGTCAGACACTAAAGTGTATTCTAGTTCCCTTTCCAGGTGCCTGGTTACATCCAGGTAACATATTTAATAGTTTGGCCACTGTTTAACCTGTAGGGGCAAAACGTTGTGTTAGGAGAAGTGTCTGATGGTCTCATCCTACAATCAGACTTGAAAATTCTATTTTAACTGACTGAATATCTACAGTGAAATAAGTGCAGTCATTCAAACCAAGATAGGCTCTGATCACTGACCCCCCCCTTCTCAATCTAGCCATGTGCTACTTTGTTCTTAAAAAAAAAAAACAAACAAAAAAAACCAAACCAAAAAACACTCAACTTAATTCAACAGTACATTTCAATAAAAACAAAATATAAAGGCAGTCAGCAAATGAGAGATGGGTTAGAATCAATAAGGCTCAAATTGTAGGTGCAATTTTTTTTTTTAATTCACATTTTATCATTGGCCCTTTTGAAATAGTCTTCTCACAAAATTAATGGATTTTGGCTTGCAGGACTATGCTCTCAGAAGGATGCTCTACCACTTTTAAAAGCAGCGTTCCATAAGAATATGCAGCTCTGCTTCTTGGCGTTCTCTAGGCTAGAGAAATAGCTGGTCATTGTGAGCTGAACGACCGTGGGGAGACTGAGACAAGTACCTTTTATTTCTACGCTTCCAGCCATGCTTATTTCCTTACTCACTTTTTCCAAGTAGAAAACGAGCACAAATACAGCTTTCCTACAGCCATTGCTCCTCACACTTTGGCTAACCATAGAGATGCCAATTTATTCTCCCCACTCCGTTCTGATCAGTTCTCACAGAGATTAATTTCTAACCTTCAGTATAGTAAGAAGCACAGAAACTAAGCACGTGCACGAGAGGCTTACGTCCTGGTGTGCACGAGGCGTTAAGTTAGCTACCGGGACAAGCTCACTTGACTACAACAGACTGGACCTAGAGCTTGCTTTTTAAGAGCTGCAGGACAGCAATATCACTGCTTCCTCACTGAAGGGAAGGCATTTCAAGTATTAGTTCTCCCAGTCAGTCTTCCTGCTTCCACAGGGAGGGTTGAAAGGCTGCAGGTTCCCCAAAGAGCAGTGGTAGAAGGAAAACACTTTAAAGAAACACTGGAGTAAGTATGTGTTTATGTAGAATGCTGCAATGGTGAGGGGTTTGCATATCTATCCGCATTTCAATCTACCTTTCAGCAGGGCTCAATGAAAGTAGGCGGAGGCCAAAATCTACTTTAAAAAGGTTAAAACATAAAAAAAGTTGTAGACAATTACAAAAATGTTGCTTAGCAGCAGCCAGCCTCTGACCAGTTCTTCAGTAATGGCATTAAAAAAAAAAACAACCTGATCAATAGTTCAAGAAATAGTGCTGGGCAGAAACCTTTTCTGAGCGTTAATAGCTCCCTTGCGTTCTCCTCTCTGTTCGTTCACTGTCCACTGAGAAAGGCCAGATGTCCTTTGGTGCATCTGTTGGCATAATGACCTTTTTCACCACACTAGAAGAAAGAGAGAGAGAATTTATTACACAGTTGATAGCTTTTTTTTCCTGTAGCTGTCTTTAATAATGTAACGAGCAACTGTTCTAATGAGTAGGCTT